TACAACTGCCTGCATTGTCCTTACAGTTATCTGTAAAATCAATTGATGGATTCTTGTCATTTGCATTTTGCAAGTTCTATCTTGGCAACTTTGCCAATCCCCCAAAGCAGAGATTTTCATCTTTGCTTCTAGACACAGAATACTAGCAATAAATGGCACTTCTTCAGCTTCTCAAAACACTGGGCACTGAAATAACCTAAATAAATTAATGTAATACATATTTTATAACATATTTATAATAATTATATATAAATATGCATGTAAATATGTATATGAGGGGTCTTTGAAAAGTTCACAGCGAGGCCAGACTGTGGTATAGTAGTAAAACCCAATATTCGATCAAGATGACCCAAATGGGAGAGTTTATGAGGATACTCTTATCAGGCAAGCATGTGCCCATGATCTGGAGCTGGCTGAGGGTGGACTGTGGCATCAGGACCAGACTGAGGATGTTGACTCTCTGTCTCTCTCACTCAAGGAAGAAGTAAATGAGTAATTTTTATCTATTTATTTGCTTGTTTGCTTGCTATAGGGCGCATGCACTCACCAGAGGCAGAGAGAGAAAAGGAAGGTGAGAAAGGTCTTCAGGCCACCAGGCCTGGGACTCAAACCACACTGTTTGCCATGTGGGATCCAGATACCTTAACCTCCATGCCATCTGCTGGCCCAAACAATTTTTTAAATGTAAACAAATCATGGAAGATGCATATTATGAAAGAACTCCTTGGATTTCAAAGTTTGGGAGCATCAAGACAAACTTGTACTGTAATTCTATCTTTTGATGAACTTTTTGAAGTATCCTTGCACACACACACACACACACACACACACACACAGATAGACAGACAAATAGATTCACTAAACATCTACTACTCTCCTCCTAAAAATACTTCTGGTTGATTGGGGGTTAGAGAAGTATCCAAATCAATGAACAAGCATTTTGGAGGTTCCCTGTGCTCCTAGATGTATAAGTCTAGTGTCAGCCATTTCCAAACACTGGTAAAACTCTGACTGAACAGTGAGGGAGCCACTCTAAACAGAGTCAAGAAGTGGGTGGCAGAATGCCCTTCCCATCCTAAATATTTTTCTGCTACTATAACCTTTAGTTAAACAAAAGAAAGAAAGGGGACTAGCAGTTGGTGTAATATATGGCTGTGTCACTGGACTCCCATGTAGTAGATCACGGTTCTAGTCCCGGTGGCTTAAACTCACGCTGGCCACCTGTGCGTGCATGCCCATGAGGAGAATGGAGGAGAAGGGATTGCGGTGTGACCATCCCTCCTGGGGGGGTGATCTCTCACTTTCTATCTCTCTTTCTCTCTCTGTCTTCCTGATGAGCACACGTGCCCTCTCGCAAAAACCTCTCCAAAAAAAAAAAAAAAAAGAAAACATGCTTATTAGAAAAATTAACATTGTTGAACCTAGATGTTACTTAGAGGCTCATTATTCTACTCTCTCTACTTTTGTATATGTTCTAAAATTTTCACTATGAGAAGAGATTAATAAGAGAGTGAAAAAACTTAAATCACTTTTTTACTTCTTTAAACTTAAAAATTATATTTTCAGGGACCAGCAGTTAGCATAATGGCTATGTCGCTGAACCTCCCATGTAGTCCACCGTGGTTTAAGTCTCGGACCTGGTGGCTTGAACTCACGCCGGGTGCGTGTGCATGTGTGCCCAAGATCCCGAGAGGAGAATGGAGGAGAAGGGATTGTGGAGTGGCCATCCTCCCTGGGGGATGATTTCTCGCTTTCTATCTCTCTGTCTCTCTCTGTCTTTATGGCAAGTGCACGTGCCCTATAGCAAAAAACTCTCAAAAAAACTGTATTTTTAAAAGTAGACTATAGATGGTACCAGCAGATGACATAGCAGTTATGTTGCTGGACTCCACATAGCCTACTGTGGTTTGAGTTCTGGCTCTAGCAGGTTGGGACTCAAGTTAGGTGTGTGTGTGTGCATGCCCAAGATCCTGAGAGGAGAATGAAGGAGAAGGGATTGTGGCATGGCCATCCTCCCTGGGAAATGACTTCTCACTTTCTATCATTCTGTCTCTCTGGTGAGCACACATGCCCTCTAGCAAAAATCTCTCTTTAAAAAAACAATGTAGATTTTAGCTTTCTGTCTTTCTGTCTCTCTGGTGAGCACATGTGCCCTCTAGCAAAAACCTCTCTTAAAAAAGAAAAAAAGTAGATCATAGGAAAAGTAAATCACACTCCAGTGAGTATGACTGGCCTTTACTACAAATCAAATTCATACTCTTGAAGATTTTTTGCATTAATTTTTTTGTGTATGTGTGGGCTAGATTGTTTATAATAGATATGGTAAGTTTGAGCAATGTATTTTTGGAAGTATAAAAACACAATATGAATGTAAGTGTTCTTACTCATTCTGGAAATTACCAGTGACCAATGTTACTGAAGCTTATGAAGGGGTGCATGGCTTTGTCATTCTTGCAACAGAGTCCAAGAAATGGGCTGTGATCCCAGATTTGCTTACTAAAAAAGCAGACCAATTCAGCCATTATTTAAATGGCACTCATTAAGGGTTCAACAGTGTAGTGGGACAGTGTAACAAAAGGACTAGAATCTTGGCTTGCCCATTTATCACTCACATGGTCTTGGGCAAATTAAATTTAAAGTTACTGGGCCAGGCTTATTTTCCTCTTCTGTAAATGGGAGCATTTATAACTAACTCAGAGTGGCGTTGTGAGGGTAAGGTGAGATAAAGTTTAAGTCTGAACAGGTCTTGCATGTGGTATAGCAATAAGTGGTAGTTCTCATTATCACTATTTGTGCCAGATGATAGTATTCTCCATAGTGGTAAGAAGAATATAGAAACAGGGGCCAGCAGGCAGCCTGGAGGTTAATGCACTAGATCTCACGTGATCGACTCTGTGAATCAGTCCTGGACCTGGCAGCTTGAAAAATCACGCCAGGCGTATTTGCATGTACACCCAAAATCCCGGTAGGAGAATGGAGGAGAAGGGATTGTAGTATGGCCATAATCCTGGGGCTGGGAGGTGATTTCTCACTTTCCCTCTCTTTCTCTGGTGAGTACATGTACCCTAGGGCAAAATCCTAAAAAAAAGAATATAGACATACTCTATCACACAAAGCTTTCTCTGAAAGATATGTGTGCAGGATAGTTTAGCACTTGACATTGACAGAATTATTTAGACTCAGTTTCCTTGAGAAAAATCTATCAGACTCCTTTCTTTGTGGGTATCTAACACCTAGGATTCTTCCTGCTGGCTGGGGCTGTTTTTTTTTTTTTTGAGAGAGAATTTTTGCTATAGAAATCACCCCCAGTGAAGGATGGCCATACTGCAATTCCTTCTCCTCCATTCTCTTCTCAGGATCTTTGGTGCACACATGTACCCTGCATGAGTTTCAGGCTGCCAGGTCTGAGACTTGAACTGTGGTCAGCCACGTGGGAGTCCAGCACCTCAACCCCTATATTACCTGCTGGCCCCTGGAGCTGGCATTTTGAAGAATCGGCTAAGTAGGAAACCAATCCGCAGAAACCTGTTCTTTTACTTTGCACTACCATCTCCACACCTGGACCACTTGTCCAGGCACCTTTACTTTCAACTAATCTGACTCCAGGTCTGCCCTTGCACCGTGATAATTACCCAGAGCTCCCAAAGTCAGCTGCCACCATTCCCATCCTAAGCCTCAGATGGACCATCTCTTGCATGCCTTGCCTGCTAAGAGTTTAGCCATTCGGGAACCAGCAGTTAGCGTAATGGCTATGTCACTGGACTCCCACGTAGTCGACTGTGGTTTGCGTCCCGGAGCTGGTGGCTTAAAACTCACGCCGGGTGCGTGTGCGTGCATGCCCAAGATCCCAAGAGGAGAATGGAGGAGAAGGGATTGCCGCATGACCATCCCCCCTGGGGGGTGATTTCTCACTTTCTGTCTCTATGTCTCTCTCTGTCTGTCTGGCGAGTGCACGCGCCCTATAGCGAAAATCTCTCTCTCAAAAAAAGAGTTTAGCCATTCTTCCTCGGCCTGTCTATTTAGGTTTGTATGTGTCTTTCTGGCTGAGAGAGGGTTCATTTTTGTACTAATTGTTTTCCCACTGCTGCCTTCTCCCAGTGTATCTTACATGTTAGATGGCACATGTAAGAATCTAGCATCTAGAAGATACTCTATACGTATTTTTTCAATAAATTATGTTTATATTGATGAGGGTTGAGAGGACATTTAGCTGAAAGAGGTGTGAGCGTGTGTATAGAAACCAGCTAATCAGAATGTATGCTAAGAACCAGCAGATGGCATAATGATTACATCACTGGGCTCCCATGTAGTCGACCATGGTTCGAGTCCCGGACCAAGCGACTTAAACTCATGCTGGGAGCATGTGCATACTTGTCCAAAATCCTGAGGGGAGAATGGAGGAGAAAGGATTGCAGTGTGGTCATCCCCCCTGGGGGTGATTTCTCGCTTTCTGTCTCTCCATTTCTCTGGTGAACACACATGCCCTATAGCAAAAAAATCTCTCAAAAAATTAATAAATAAAAATACACATTCTTGAGCCAGCAGGTGGCATGATGGTTAAGGCACTGACTCCTACATGGCTGACCATGGTTCAAGTTCAATTCAGAGGCTTGAAATCACATGCCAGGTACATGTGCGTGCATGCCCAAAATCCCAAGAGGAGAATGGAGAAGAAGGGATTGTGGTGTGGCCATTCCCCTTTGGGGGTGCTTTCTCACTTTCCCTCTTTACCTGTCTCTATCTCTCTGGTGAGTGTACTCACCCTGTAACAAAAATAAATAAATAAAAATATCCTACCTTTCATCTCTCTGAGTTGCATCACGGTGGTTGGCAAGAACAAGTGCCTTACTAAAGGTGGCAAAAAGGGAGCTAAGAGAAAAGTGGTTGATCCATTTTCTAAGTAAGACTGGTAGGGTTCCACCACCATTTTAAATCTAATTCCATACAACACTCCTCTGCCGAGGCTACCACGTGCCAGCTGCGGTCAACACCTCTCTCCCAGGAGTTCTGCCACCATGAAGGACATGGGGGAGTACAGCCACATAGAGGAATTTGCTGAGAGATCCAAGATCAATGCCAGCAAGAATCAACAGGATGACAGTAAAGTGTTTATTGGAGGCTTGAGCTGGGATACAAGCAAGAAAAATCTGACTGAATATTTGTCTCGATTTGGGGAAGTTGTAGACTGCATAGTTAAAACAGATTCAGTCACTGGAAGATCAAGAGGATTTGAATTTGTGCTTTTCTTTCCTTTTTTTTTTTGGATTTGTGCTTTTCAAAGATGCTGCTAATTTTGATAAGGTTTTGGAACTAAAAGAACACAAACTGAATGGCAAATTGATAGATCCCAAAAGGGCCAAAGTATCTGAACCCAGATACTTTTAAAAAAAATATTATTTATTTAATTTTTATTTATTCATTCATTTATTTTAATTTGACTAGAGAGAGACAAAGAGAGGGAAAGGGAGAAAGGAAGCCACCAGGTCTGGGACTCAAACCATGGTTGGCCATGTGGGAGTGTCCAGCACCTTAACCACCATGCCACCTGCTGGTCCCAGAACCCAGATACTTCTGAAGAACAAACAAAAGAATATTTCAGAGCCTTTGGAGAGACTGAAAACATTGAACTTCCCATGGATACAAAAACAAATGAAAGAAGAGGGTTTTGTTTTATCACATATACAGATGAAGAACTAGTAATGAAATTATTAGAAAGCAGATACCATCAAATTGGTTCTGGGAAGTGTGAAATCAAGGTTGCACAACCCAAAGAGATGTATAGGCAACAGCAACAACAACAAAAAGGAGAAGGACTCAAGGAACAAAAATTGCATCTGATGGCCTTAAGGGCTCTGTGTTTGAAGTAAACCTTGCAGATCTGCAGAATTACAAAGTTACAATTTAAAAAATGCAAGCTAATAACTGAGGATGTTTAGGGCAAAAACTACCCAACTAAGTTCCATGGCATGGATCTTATCCATGGTCAAAAAATGGCTGATCATGGGCCAACCAGCAGCATGGGGTCAAGGTGGCTAAATCCCACATGGCTAACTGTGTGGTTTGAGTTCTGGATGCAGAATCTAAGAAAACATGCTGGGCATGTGTATATGCCTGCTCTAAATTCTAAGAGGAGAATGGAGGAAAATGGATTGTGGTGTGGCCACCCCCCCAGGGGGTGCTCTCTCATTTTCTCTCTCTGTCTCTCTTTGGCAATGTACCTGTCTTATAGCAACATTTTATAAAAAAGGCAGACTATAATTGAAGCTCATGTTGATGTCAAGACTAGCAGTGGTTATTTGCTTGTCTCTTTTGTGTTGGTTTTACTAAAAAAATACAACAGACAGATACGGAAGACCTCTTGTGCTCAGCATCAACAGGCTTGTCAAATCCAGAAGAAGATGATGGAAATCACGACTCAGGAGATGCAGACAAATGACTTTTAAAAAGTGACCAAAGGGACCAGCAGATGGCATAGTGGTTACGTTGCTAGACTCCCAAATGGCTAACTGTGGTTCGAGTCCCAGACCCAGTAGCTTCAAAATCCGAGTGTGTGTGTGTGCGTGTGCACAAGAGCCTCAGAGGAGAATGGAGGAGAAGAGATTGTGACATGGCCATCTCCCCTGGGGGGATGATTTCTCACTTTCCTTCTCTCTGTGGTTATCTCTCTCTCTCTCCAGTGAATGCACCCACCCTATGGCAAAACCTCTCAAAAAAAGGGGGGAAGGGCAATTACAGACAGCATTAGAAAAGATATAGAAAAGTCTTGTTGATCTATTTATCCTTTCGATGGTGTCTTTGTTAGAAAAGTAAAAACACTGAAGAAGCCCAAATTTGAATTGGAAAAATTAATGGAGCTTCATGGTGGAGGTAGTAATTCTGGAAAAGTTACTGGGTATGAGACAGGCACTAAAGTCAACAGACTGATAGATATTGACCACCAGTACAGAAATCTGTTTTAAGTTCAGACTTGTAAGTGACAAAAAGTCCTATTTGTGAAAAAAAAAAAAAAAAAAAACTATAACTTCACCGTGAGCGTATATAGCAATTACATGCTATATGAGGGAACTTTAAAAACTTGGTAGAAAATTTGTATTATGAAAAAAGTGCATGAATTTCAATATTTTTTTAGTACTGTTAACGAATGGGAAAGTGTTGAGCTGCGTTGTGAAGTCCTTGGTTCTTTGGGTCCAGATCGGTAAAATCAGTCCCTAGGCGCAAAATGAAACTGCAACCACGAATGAAGTAGGTAGAAAAAAAGATTTAATAGAAAGAAAGGAAAGAAAGAAAGTACACCCAAAAAGGTTGTTGGGCGGGCAGATTGCCAGGTGGCAACCGCGCTTGGTACTAGTTAAGTATTATTTTTATTACTAAAGGTCATGAATATTCATTAGTGGGAGGCCCCCTTACGCTGCCTATGTCCTTCCTTTAAATTTGAATCCACAGGTTCTTTCCCTGCACCTGCACATCTTCTTCACAGGTAAAGAATGAGGAACTTGATCACCTAATTGCGAGTGGTGCCCAATGCGAGCCAGGTTGCCCCAATTAGACTGCCCAATTAGTCCATCGCCCTAATGGGAATTAGGGCACCAAAACGCTGGCTTAGGTCTTTCTGATAAGAGAAAAAATCTCGGAATCATCCCTGTGTGCTTCCCTCAAGCCCCAAGGAAGGAAGATGGCAAATTCCTGGCCCCTGGAGCTAGATGAGCCTTTCGCTTTGCTCTTAGGGCTGCCCGCTCATGACTGACTAACTGCCTACCACAGTACTAGACTAAACTTGTACTTTAATTCCACTCTTTTATGAACTTTTTGAAATTCCTGTGTACATGCTTTTAATTCTTATTTTCTTAGTTGTTTTTGTTTGTTTGTTTGTTTGTTTGTTTTTTTAAGAGAGAGAGATTTTTGCTATAGGGTGCATGCACTTGCTGGAGAAATAGAGGCAGAAGGTGAGAAATCCCCTGCAGCAGGGATGGCTATGCCACAATCCCTTTTCTTCCATTCTCCTCTGGGGATTTTGGGTGCACACGCACATGTGCTCTACATGAGTTTAAGCCACTGGGTCCAGGACTTGAACCACAGTTGACTACATAGAGTCCAGTGGTATAACCATTACGCCATCTGCTGGTCCCTTATTTTCTTAGTTCTATAAATAATTGTATATTTAATGTTCATCAGTTCTTATGCTGATGATTTTCTAAGCATTTTGATTTTCTGAAGCTCAGTCTCTGATATATTCCTCAGGAGAGGCACGTGGAACAATATGCCCTGATAGCAGTTTGTTTAAGTCCTTTATGGTTGAATCAATTTTACCAGATATACCTGGCTTTATCCTTCTACAAGCAGAGACAAGTCTCCTGATGGCTCCAGAATTGCACCCTTTTAGCTTAATAACCCAAGACAAAGTTCTCCAACTTTTCAAACCTCCAATTACTCCCGCTTTTCTTGTCATTGGCAACAGCTAGCCTCTTGTCCTACTTTACAGAGGAACTAGAAGTCTGTCTTCTCAATATAAAATATATAAGCCTACCTTTTCTCCTTCTTGTTGATAAAGAGCCTATTCTTATTGCCTTTTAATGTTAATCCATATTTCCTGATTTCTCTCCTTATAAGGAACATTACACACAACCAGTTATCCTTTTCTGCTTTCGTATCTCCAGTCTTCTTCCCCTCCCCATTGATGAGATCTTTCTTATTAAGATCTACATACATCAAAATTTGCATACATTCCAGTGTTTTATAAAAAGTCACTAAATCTCACTCCCCCCTCCAACTATCATCTTGTCTCTCTCCTTCCTTTATGACACACTTTTTTTGGAGAGGTTTTTTGTTTTTTTTTTTTTTCTATAGGGCGCGT